ATAGACGCCCGAGCATTCCAGTTTGTCAACCTTTTCGAGTTGTTTCGGCATGCTGGCTAAATGTATTTTCTTTTATATTGTCACCTTGATATTCCATTTTCATAGCAGCAACCACAATTTTTGACTCAATTCCTAGCAAGACAGATATCCACTTTTGGTCGTCCTCCCGATTCCTGAACTTATTTTCCCACAAGGTCCCTATCGCTGTGGAAAAATTCAGCTACTAATTCTTCATCACAAACGAAATAAGGCGAACATATCTCATATAAATACTAACATACCCTTTATTTCGTTTAAGAAGATAGGCAAAAGGGATTTGTAAACTAGCGTCACCGGATACCAAAGAAGGGATGCCTAGGACTTATGTCTGTTGAATTGTGCGAAGCAGACCTAGGCTCACCGTCCAATGACTCTGTGCCGAGCTTTCGTCCGTCATGTGACCTACTTCGCCAGAGCCAGAAGACAGTATTCATGAACAATCACTAAAAAGACTAAACCAATAAACCCAGCTTCCCTTCATATCTCATATAAATTTGTGTACTAAGTTTAGTCCTTTGATCACATGAAATACTTATCTTACTGAATAGAAATAATCGTTTCTTTGCTCGTTTTGATAAGCTAATTATTTAGGAAATAAATAAGATAAAAAATAAAAATTAGATTCGTTAATATTTTTTAGGAGAGAAAGACATACTTTTTCCTTTAAAAGCCAGGGTAATCACTATTATAAACGAAGCTTGAGGGCAAACTTCTAACTGTAGCTTACACCAGGGTAATACACTAAGTAAAGTCCTACCACTAATGTAGAAAGCTGTTTTTCCATATCGTAAAAAAGTGGGCTGAATGGATTCAGAAAGAGGTAAATTATTAGATATCTAGGTGTGGGGTTTCCCTGTAACGAAATATAATGGGTACGAAGAAATGCAATATACAACATGACAAGGCTCGCAAATTGTCCACTCCCATATTATATCTAGCCGTCACTAGTGTCATTATTATGGGCTATTTTTTTATGATTATCTTCATAAATTGATCAATTGCAGACTAATTTATATAAGGTGCTTTTCGCATAAATTTTAGGTCCCGGAATGTCTAAATAAATCCATTAAGTCAAAACGCTATGTTTCCCTAAATGATTTTAACTTGTATCTATATTTTAATATTCGAATGAATTACACTCAATAATTTATTTAAATATTTTTCTTATAGCCAGTTAAGAATTCCTGATTTCATCTTTACCTCCCAAAATCCCTCATGAAATAAGCGAAACCTTTGGAAAACTAGTATAGTTAGTGGAATGCATTAGTGTTCACGCAACCGGTCTGCGAACCTTTTATCTTTTAATGCATTCGTATCTACTCTGGCTATCCGACTGTTATGCTTTGGTTTGATATACACAAAGCCTTTTTTACATAAGCAACTTGTTCAAAACAGTGGAAACTTTGTGTTATTTCCAGCCTGCTACAGAATTTTAGTTGTATTCCTACTTGAAAATAGGTTATCTCACTGATAAGCTACATCTAAAATAGAAATGTGTAGACTTCATGGCTGATAAATTGCTCATTTTCAATTAACGCTTAGCCATGGATAAATTACCTCGATAAATAACTATGTAGGAAGTGTATTTTTTATTGGATATATTTGGTTAAACTTCCCGATATTCTGGTGAAAATGCAATGTATTAAATGACTGTTTATAGCTAGCTTAAGTGTGAGAATATGGGGGGCAGAACAGAACATGATAAAAATTTATTTCGTATTATTCTATGAACAATGTGCTATTATGCATGCTGATATGTGTAATTGCATCTGCGTCTGTCATCATGCTCACTATCGTGAATATATTTTCGACTGTATGTACAAGTCAACTGAAGAAACAGTATAGCTGAGATATCAAATATAGTAAGTAAATTTAGGCGAAAATAGGAATGTACTATTTTAAGCTAAAAGTTTGGTTTTCATGCAAAGAATGATAGATTTTTAAGCTTAAAACTGTTATAAAGATCTTTTTTTACAATCAATATTTAGAGACTATCAACCCATCTTATATAGGTGCTATATTTGTTAAAGGTGATGAAGAAATAGTAGTTTAATTTCTCCACAATGATATAGGCAGACCTTATGCTTCCTTTAAATTTGATATTGCGGTATCCGAACTCTGGTAGTGCAGCACATTGTCTCGATATCTTAAACATCACGACATGTTACTACGAGTACCTTTGAATCACATGGCAAAATTTAATTTTAAAGAAACCTTGGCCTTTCATATAACACATTTCTGTGGTTGGAATGTCGATGAAGCAAATTTTTATTTGCTATAGTTATAAACAACATAATAAAATACAACTTTGATTCATCAAGAATCACACCACAGTAATGTGTTATGGGAAATGCTTAGGGCTCCTAAAAATAACTTCTGCATTGTGATGCAAGGGCATTCGTGGAAGTTTGGCATAGCAGTTAGCATGTCAAGATTATACGCTGCACTATTATGGTTCGAGTCCCCTTATTATTGTTGTTGAGTCCAAGGCGAGGTCGAGACTACAGCCTCTCTGGATGAGAATAGCTTTTGAAAAGCAGGAAAGAGTTAGATTAAATGGAAGCATGAGGCTACTCATATTATTGGGGGAAAATTCCATTGCAATTTCTTCACATCTTTCAACAAAATAGCCACATAAATTTAACCTATCTGCAGGCGTTCGATTTTGAATTAAAATTAATATTATTGTACCAATTGCAGTTGAAAATTATTTGTGTGGTTTTGCTTAAGTACGTTTTCTTGTTCTCGTGATTGCTACATAGCCGAAAAAAGAATTTAAAATTATCTGATAAATGTTCTCCATCTATCAGTATAATAAATTTTGCATCTAAATCCTCTCAAAGAAACATCTTTTGCGTTTTTTGTGAAAACAACCTAGAAATCATTTTGTAATGTTTGTATTAGACAAAAAGTGAATTATTTTATCTAACAAATTTATTACACTTTTAAATTAAGTTTCATAATCTAATTGCCCATTATTTAACTTTGCTATAAAAACTTTATCCTTTATCCATTTTATGCAGATAATTAAGGTTTCCATTTTTCCTCTTTCAGGAAGCCGGTGAAATGGTCCGTTCTTTTGTTGGAGGGCTCGAGTTGATTGTTAGCCTTCTCAAATCAAACAACCTTGAGGTTTTGGCTTCCGTGTGTGCAGCAATTGCAAAAATTGCCAACGATGAAGAAAATTTAGCTGTTATCACAGACCATGGGGTTGTCTCCCTGCTAGCCCGTCTAACCGACACGGTGGGTACGATTTCTAGTGCTTAATGACATCACTTAAATTAAAGGCGCACAGTTTTAAATTTAAATTTATGCTAGCTCAAATGGATTCCTAATGTCGTTTGAGTCCGTAATCCAGGATTTTTACTCTTGGATTCTGGATGCCTTTTTCGGTTACCGAACCAGTTACACAACTATTTACCTAACCATACACAGGATTAAAATGGAATATAAGACCAATCAAATTCTATTAACATAGAAGGATGGCAACCAGGGATCTATATCAAATGTGGATATGAAAAACAAAAATTTGTGGCACTCGGTATGGTCGTAGTCTACTTTTGATTTATAGAAGTGGGTTGAGCAAGTTTTCGCAAATGATCTTGTAGTCAGGTCGACTTGATTGAATGCAACTTGTCCGAAATCCTCTACCTTAGTAGTTATCACAATTACCAGCATCAGATCATGGACTTGGTACAGTCTTAGACGTTTGACCGGCATCATCAGCCAGTCTTGCCATTCTCTGCAACAGGCTACAAATTCGTCAAAGAGACAAGTGATGTCAAGCCCCCGACCAAAGTTCTTTCCTGGCCCATCTATCCATTCCTTACGCTCTTATCCAACTCCTTCCCTGTCACAACTTCTGACATTTTTACATTCCACTTGTCAAAATGTGTGCCCTTTTTTGGCAAATTTACTCTGGCTTTATCATACCTGCTACTCACCCTGGCCCCCACTCTTTCGGTCGGCTACGCCATCTCGGGCCTGCTATCCGGATCTTACTTATGGTCGCGTAAATCCGTTTCTTATATTTCTGGTTGACCGATTTCACTCGGCTCTAGTTTCAGTTTGCGGTTTACTCCAAGCACTATTTTTCAAGGGTCTAGAAGTACGTACACTGACGCCTCACCGAGCAGAGTGCCTAGGCTCTGATTCGCATGCTTGCAGATATTAGGCATTGCCTTCATGGGTCATCTCGTTAATTAAACGCATGTTACCTGAGCAAACTGTGGACGCCTATCTCTGGTCGCATGCGGCACCTCATGTGGATTTCTAGTACATGTTGACCATGATGCCGCAGTTCTGTGATGATTGTGCTTATCCTCCTGCCTAGTTCCCCGACTGCCAGGCCCCAAAGATTTACTGGTTTTTTCGAACAGACAACATTCACTGATAACGTCTTCGCTTGATTTCAGCAATGTCTCCTCTCCTTTTCTAATCGCAATAGATCCTTGATACAAGCGTCTCCCTTTTGCTTGCATTGTTGTGTTTTTGTTTTACCCCGAGCTTGCTTAAGCTGTAGACAAAGTCATCGCTAACTCTGCCTTGCTCCAATATCCTGTTCATTAGATTTTTATTCACAAGCATGCAAATGGTCTCCCTAATTTTCCACTTTATTGTGTTTTCACCGTATGAGGCCCTTCTTTCAGTTGTGATGTGTTCCGCTAATTCTGAGCTTTCGGTATCTATTTTACTGCAGAGCCTCTGAAGTTACTTGATTCGTGTGCTAATTTTTCTTCCTGTTTTGCCAAAATATTTCTGGTCGCCGGCGCCGCATGCTATGCCGTAAACTCATTAACAATCCATATTTTCTACCCTTTCATGTTACTTCGGTTTTTTCCTTCATGGGCACCCGAATATGGCATTTCCTTAGTATCTGCCATAGTTTTCATGTTGGGTTGCAGTAAGGTAAGCATATCCACTTTTGTGAATCCTTCTCCGTCCTTATTTTTCTTCCGTAGTACCTGTTGTGCTATCGGCTTTTAAAGGTCCGTATGATTATTTGTGTTACTTTACTTCAGTATCTGTTCCTGAGTAATATCCAAATCAATTGGTAAAATTTTCCATACTAGGATTTCACACCCGTTAAACGTAAGCTTCGGATAATTATGATCCTTATTATTCTTATCTTTAACTTGTAGTTGTGATGTGACATCATATGACATCTTTCTGGGCAATTTCTTTTTGAGAGTTCCACTAGGGCGAATCACTTCAATACCCAGGAAAGTTAACCGCTCATCTTCTCCTTCCATCGTGAATTTGCTTAATTCATAAATCTGGTTAATAAACTTCAAAAAATCTTCCAGTTTTTCTCTTCCATTTGACCAAATTGCGAAGTAATCGTCCAGGTACTGCATGAGTAGTTCTAGTTGTATCGGTGAAAGCTTAAAGTTGTCCTCCGATTTGTTCATGTATACGTTCATCAAAAGTGGTGAGAGCTGCGATACGATGGGAAGTCTAAATATTTGTTTATAGATGGTCCCGTTGAGTGTAAAATAGTTTGTCATTATTGTCAAGTTGATTTATCGTGTTAAAGACTCCCTCCTGATCCCTTCTGATTCCAGGATATACTACTATCGTTCCTGGATTTCCAGCAGGGCTGTTAACGCATTTTCTTCAGATATGTTGGTATTCATGGATAGTGCATAAGTCTCTGTTTTCCAGTGTCATGTGTTTGATTCTTTGAAAAAAGTAATATGAATCTTTTGCCATTCAACTTATTGAATTTCATACATGAGCTTTACCAATTTGTGTGCTGCTCTATAATTCTTGCTAACTATCGGCATTAGTGGCTCGCCGTATTTGTGTATCTTCGGTAATCCGTAGGCTGTTGGTGATCGTGTATCATTTGTTATGGTTAAATTTTTTGTCCATACGTCAATTTATCCGTTCCTATGCATATCTTTTAGCATTTCCAGTAAGATTCCATTAATTTTCATAGTTGAGTCTTTCTTTACTATACTATATATAGTCCTGTCTAGTAGAATTAATTACATCTTCTAGGTATATCGTTTTTTGTCCATTATCAATGTCGCTCCTCTTTTATCCACATGAATGTCTAATTATTCATTCATTTGCAAGGTCTTGCGTATCCTGGTAAATATGTTACTGCGTGTTGACTTTTGATGTGTCATGATCTTGGGAATTCGCTCCATCCACCTTTCCCGTTTTGTATCCGCAGAGAACCTATCGGAATTATTGCTAACCTCCCCCAGGATATGTCTCCTTGAAGGCTTCTGTTATTGTGCAATGACAAATTGATTACTTTTTCCAGGATCGTGGTGATTTCAAGATAAAAAGAAAATGATGTTAAATTCAATACTTTCTTCCGAACGTCGTGCTAATCAGTAGAAGTTGTCACCTCGGAAACCACTTCAACTGGGCGTACTAGCATTAACTTAGACTGGCCTATATTCACAAACTTATGCAATTTATCGTAGTTTCGTTTTGTTATTAAGTCAAAGATTCTACGTGATTTCTCATTGGACCTGTTTTTGGGGTTTTGAAAGTCTTCCGGGATCTGGATCATGACCAGATCACACAGAAGCATTGAGTTAAGGCCACAGAAGATGATTGGATGGACAGGTTGGATTGTTAAGGATTGTACGACATAGCATTTGGCGCCTGCGACCAGAAATATATTGGCGAATCAAGGAGAAAAGTCAGCAGATGAATCAAGGAACTTCGTAGTCTCTGAAGTAAAATTGATACCGAAAGATCAGAATTAGCGGAAAATATCGTACAGACTGGGCAAGTGATCAATTGGAGGGCAGTAGAAATAAGTGCCTCATTTTGTAAAAATACAAGGAAACGGAAGATTAGAGAGGCCATTGGCATACTTGGCGAAAAATCTAATAAACACGAGATTGGAGATGGACAGAGTTAGCGATAACTTTGCCTACGACTTAAGCAAATTCGGAGTAAATAATGGTAAGGCAGGACCAGCAAAGAGAAGACGCCTGGATCAATGGCCTCTCGTTATCGTGAGAAAAAGGGGTCACAAATAGGAATAGGGTGGTGAAATTTGGGAAATAAAGCGAAGAAATTCTCAGTGAGTGAAGCCTCTTCTTTGGGGGATTTTGCGTTCACTGAACTATGCAGACGGATAAGCGCAATCGTCACAGACATTTGGCATTATAGCTATCATTTACGAGAAATCCAATCGAGATACAGCAAACGACTAGGGATGGGCATCCAAAATTTGCTTAATTAATATGGGTTTAATCAAGAAGACGACCTTGGAAGGCCTTGTCTTATATCTGCAAACAGCTTAGGCGCTCTGCTCGGTGAGGCGACATTGTACGGGCTTCCAAGGCCTTTAAAAATAGCGCATGGAGCAAAACACACACTGAGACTTGGAGCTTGTGAAATTGGTCAACCAGGAAGATAAGAAATGGAGCTACGGGACCATGAGGGACATCAGGTTACGAGGCCCGAGTCGAATTATTCGATCGAAAGAAGATGGTGTAAGGTGAACAGCAAGTGTGATGAAGCTTGCCAAAAGGGGTACACCATTTGATGAATAAAATAGGCAGTCGGATAGAGGTTAAGCAGTTGATAGATGGGTCTGAACAGAAAATGGAGCGATAATGCTACCGTTTTGACTACATTTTGTTTGAGCGATTGACCTCACTTGTCGCAACTTGGTCTTGTTGTCAGGGCGACTTAGTAGAACACACCTAGTCCGAAGTCGTCTGCCATAGTAGTTATCATCATTTTCTGCCTTAAACACTGGACTTTATACATTATTAAATGTTTCGCCGGCATCGTAGTCGGCATCATCAGTAAGTTTTGCCATTCTCCGCACCAAGCTACGAACTCGTCAAAGAGACAAGTGAAGTCAATCCCTCGACAAACGTTCTGCTGAAAACGGTTACACTATTACTCCTCTTTCTGTCATGGCCCATCTATCAACGTTGCTGGAAGGAAGCCGAAAACGGTTACACCATCACTCCTCTTTCTGTCCTGGCCTATCTATCTACTCTTTACCCTTTTAATGCACTGCCGCCCAATCACGTAAACGGTTACACTATCACTCCTCTTTCTGTCCTGGTCTATCTATCTTCTCTTTACCCTCTTATCCCACTGCCGCCCTATCATAATTTCTCACTTGTTAAGATTCCACTCTTCAAAATGTGTGCCCTTTTGTGGCAAATCTTGTGTAGCCCTATCACATTTGCTATTTACCCCGACCCCTCTCTTTCTATCGGCTTATCCGACTCGGGCCTCTGTGACCTTAAGAGACCCAATTACTCGGATAAGGTTAA